CGATCCGGATCGCCGATTCGCCGATCCGGATCGCCGATCCGGATCGGTTTTTGAAAAGCCCGATCCGGGTCACCGATCCGGTTTTTAAACCATTGGTTTTTAGTATGTAATAAGATGTGATGTTTTTTAAAATATTTAATGGGCAGACTTATATAGTACATTTTTTTTGGTATATACTAGTCAATTATGAATTTGATATTGGAAGATTGGATGAGAGTCATGAGGTACCAAAATTAATTGATTTAATTACATTAATCTAGTAAAGTTTTATAGATGAATTAGTTATTGATGGCTTTGACATAATTTTTATTTTTTAGAATTTTAAATTTTCTAATATTATAAATTTATCTGATTTTTTTACTTCGAATTTTTTAGCCTAATCCGATATATTAGCTATATCTTTATATGAAGTACTTTTCCTTATTCATATTTTTTACCCAATTTTTTCATCAAATTTTTTAAAATAAAAACAATTTGTTTCTGATTTTATGATGAGCTGATTTATTGATAGTCCCCGACTTGCTAACATAATAGAGAGAGAAACAAGAGAAAGTAGAGTGGAGCGGACGATGTATCCTAACCAATGCCTTGGGCTTAAATTTTTAGGGCAAATCGCTGCATTAGTTCTCACATCTCTTGAGATTCCATCTTTAGAGAGAGAGGGGGGACAATCTTTTACGAATTCAATTCTCGTAAAAAGAGAGGTCATCTTCAGGATCGTTTTGTTTTCCAATTTGAAAGAACAAAAAAAAATGGAACTTTAAAGAAAGAAATGGAAAAGTATACAGAGACATCATTTATTTTTAGCACGAGGATATCATAATCATTCTTGTATTTTAGATTTCAAATCGAGTGGTTATGAGCATCCTTTAGATTCCAAATCGAGTGGTTATGAGCATGTTTTTTATTAGACTAAAAGTTTCAAAAAAAATATTTCTTGAACTTCTTGACACATTCCAAACCATACAATTTAACATCTAATGGCTACGAGTAACATCCTTGTACAAATGATAAACAGGCTCATAGTATATGATCCCTTCAGAAATTTGTTACTTTTAGATTTTATTATTATTTTTTCTTCTATGAAGATTTCTTCTTCGTTCCTCCCCATTACCTTGAGCTTTAATTATCATATTAGTTGTGTTTTTTACAAAAATATTACTCTACTATCGTTTATTAATTTAGGGAAAATAGCAAATATATCTCTCATTGTTGTTTATATTTTAAACTTATCTTTAGTTTTCGTTTAACACATCTATGTCCATTTCTAGCTTGTTCTTCTTTTTCACAAATGACGTTTTTACCTTTGTAATGGCTCTATTAGAGCCGTGGCGGCTTGACAGGTTCTTGGAACCTTTCGGCGAGGCTTCCTTGTTCATAAACCATTACGAACATAGCAGGTAATTAAACTTCTAATCTCGAAAGATTCCTAGAAGTTTAAAACTTATTTGATCCTAGGGAATTACACAAATTATTTTACTCATAACTCGCTCCACAGGCTAAATCCATAAAAAAATTTAGCAAAATTCCAATCATTTGAGAGTTCTATAAAAATTAAAGTGCAATAGAGAGAAAAAAGTATTGCGAAGAGCATAGCAGTTAGCCGATATTTTATCCCAAAGAGAGAAAAAATGGGCGTGAAAAAGAGAGAAAGAGCCACAGAGAAATTGGGAGAGAGAGAGAGGACATCGGTACGACAAGGTGAGACAGAGGGAGAAAAGGGCAAGAGAGAATTTGGG